AAGAATGGAGACAAACTGAAATAGTACTATTTTCACCCTCGCCTTGTTGTTCTATCTCTAACGATGTGAATAGTTTGGGCTCGTGCGCAGTCACAAGAGATCTTGTTGCCTTGGTGGATACCATCTATGGGCGCGGGGCAGATGTAAACTTTTGGGGAATTAGTTATGGGTGAGTCCTGCATCGGAACGCTTTTGCTTTTCTGACAAGTATGTAGGACCGTACTTGCTACGTACTTAACCCAAATGTTTCCCAACCGAGTTGGAAAAGTAATCGTTGATGGTGAGATGATAATTCAATCGTACAGAACCTTTGCTCAATGTACATCGATGACAGCCGTGTTCGATCCCTACTCTTACGCCAACAAGGCTCCAATAGACTGGCTAGAAAGGGACTATGAAGATACCGAGAAGGCGCTTGTCAGATGGACCGAGCTCTGTGTCGCCAATCCCAACAAGTGCAGTCTCGCCGCAAAAGCAAACAATACTGCGGAAGGCGTTCACAAGCTAGTTAAAAATGTCTTGGAGACGGCGTACCGAAACTATGATGGGACGGTATGGGACGGTATGGGACTCTCTTGTGGACTATGATAACAGTACAATCGTCAGGAACCCTAGAAAGTGGATGTATTCATTGGTGGTACAAGCCCTTATGCCAGGTTTATACGACCCGGATTATAGGGGGCTGAGTAGCTACACTATCGACGCCATCATGAAAGAACAAGCCGCTATCAACGGGACTTCGACTCTTCAAAGCCGGTCCTTGGATTTCATCCATCATATCAAGAGGGCCTTGCCCTATGCAGCTGCTTCCGAGCCGAACTTGAACCCGCCAACAGAGCTGAACATGCTAGTCCATGCGATTGCTTGCGGGGATTCAATCGACGCTCCAGGCAAGACTACAAAGCAGTTGTTCGAGAAAATCGTCAAGACTTCTCAAACTGCGTCTCCTATTTTCGCCCCCGGCGCCACCCGAGCTGGTCTTCGGATGTTTTGTCATCGATGGACTTCGAGGGCGGTCGAAAGGTTGCCTAAAAGGATGAACATCAAGCCGAAGAATGTGGTGTTGGTGATTGGGAATACGGCGGATCCAGTAACTCCCTATAGTAGCGCCAAGTTACTCGCATCGTCGGCTCATCTCGGAAACAAGGCCAGGCTCATCAAATATAATACCGTAGCGCATAGCACCTGTACGTGTTCTCCGTTGATCATCAGGCTTGTTTGCTAACAAATCTTCTCTCAGTGCCGAGAAGTAAGTCGTAGTCTTCAATTCCAGTGTTCCCATACTGACTCTTACAGGATCTACTTGTGTGGATGACATAATAAGAAAATATGCAAATGGGAAACCACCGAAAGATGCCAGGAATGACGAAGCAGACGTGGAGTGCAACCCAGACGACGAACCTTTTGACAGTCCAATCCCTTCCTAAACCAGTTCTTCCCAACCAGGATACACCAGGAGGCCGGAACAAAGATGCTAGATTTATTGGCAATTTCTTCGACTCGTAATTGGGTACACTGAGATTTCCCCTCTTTGTCTGATAATTTGCTCAGACAGTGGAGTTACCTGGTATTTAGTCAAGTGAATATGGTATATAGGCGTTAGACGTGGGTTTACCAAAAGCACAGCGTGCGTAAACTCTAGTTCCTCGAGCCTTGGACAGATCTACGATATTCCTATCACCTCATTCAAGCGGTTTTGAAGACATCCTGAACCACGTGGGATATGGTAGATGAACTCTCGAACATTACGAGGGGAGTTCAATTATACCATTGCTTTACTGACGACGTTCCCACCCGCTGATGGAGATCACACTGTATCCCCAATGGCCAATGCCATCGCAGTCAATAGCCCGGCCAAAGGATACTCTCGAAAATGGTATAAGTGAAGGTGGAAAGAGATTTCTAACAGGGTGTATTGCTTTGTGTCCAGTGCGAAGATTAGCTATATTGGTAGAATCATCCGTGTATAATGCTTAGCTTACGCGACTTGATCGTGACTAGCTTTATACCTGTTTATTTGAATGAAATAGAGTTAATAAATTTCAGCAGAACGCGAACTTTTACGCGTTGAGAGGTCGTGTTATGTTGGCCGCCACTGTCTGCAAGGCTGGATCAGAGCGGTGGCATGTCCTACGATTGAAGCTTTACTCGGTATGATAAAAATATAAAGTCCATTTTTATCAGCTATCATGTACACATGTTCGACAGCAACGCAATCAACACACCTGCCGAAAGAGGAAATTCGCGAGGAAGGCTTCTTCAAGCCCCATAGACTTCGAAGAAATGATAAAAGACCTCTCAATGAGATGATATCCGAGATGGTTCGCTATGGAACCGACTATTTTGATACAGTAGGTTAAATTGTCGGAGGGCAAGAACTATCAGATAGAAGCCCGGTAAGGCTCTGGTCTGGCGGCGACAGGGTCGAAGGATTTGTGAAAGTCAATTACCTGGACGGGACTTGTACAACTTTATCAGGATGGGGCTACTGAGTTCCTAATTTATGACACTAGTAAGAAAGGATGGCAGAGTCTTTTGTGATGATACATGAGCCTTCCGGTAAAGATAACTATACAATTACAGAGACAGAAATAGATCTTTTGTCTGTTGACATAGGGTATGGCTTCCTATATCTAAAGTAGAGAACGGGCGTCAGAAGGTAACTTCCTCTGTCAGCTCTGGATTGGCTTCAAGGATCGCTCTCCTCCTTTCTGCGGCGAGGGCTTCTTCATCTGGTTCTTGTCCTTCTATATCTCCACCTCCCGTGTATGCCTCGATTGTAGAGATAGGGATATCGAGAGTCACAAGAGTCGATCTTCTCTTGCTGGTCATGTCAACCGCGCTTGGACCCGTCATTGCCTTTTCTGGGAACTGCGGCTCATGGTCGTTGTTACCAATAGAGCGGGGTCGAGATCCCCTAAAATCCGATAGCCTATTCTGTTGTCTGGTGTTGGCAGGTCCCAAAGATTCGACATCAGATATGTCAAAGTCAAAATCGTCGATTCCATCATTGACAGTGTGCCCACGCGCGGGTAGTACTCGGCGTGGCCGGTCGAGTCTAGATGGTAGAGGCAAGTTGGAGCTTGCACCAAAATGAGGACTGGATGGGGCGACGAAGGAGTGATTGGGATTTATCGGTTTACCGGGACGACCCAACAACACATCGACCCAGGATTTCTTTACCCCTGTGGGGGGCGTCGCCTTTGGATACTTGATTCCGAATGGCTTTAGGATAGCCCCAAGAATAGTTTCCCTCTGTTTGGATGCCTCTTCTCCAAATCCGAAGAAGGTGAAGATGATGAGGCCACATAGAGGGAGGGACCAGTAGCCGATTGACAAGGTTGCGACAGTCAACCGGTCCGTGGACAGCATGAAACGGGTGAAATACGCAATTCTCCGAAAGTTTTTGTGGGTAACCTCCCATGATTCCCATGGAGCGACGGGGTATGCGGTTCCTCTAACTATAATGAGCCAGCTCGAAAGTGGGAGATGGATTGTGAAGGCACCAGCCGCAACCCAGAGGAGGCGCAGATATCGATCTTTATTGATGCTTTTTGAACCCGATGCGAGAACCTTGTTCATCTCCTTTCTTTGGGTCAAGAAAAGGCGAATGGTCATGATTGAGAAGATCCCCGAGATAAAGCAAATGACGGGGTCCCATGGGTAATAGATGATAAATGTCAATGTGGAGTTGTAAGTTGTCATACATGGTCCTAAATCTTCGACAACATCATAGCGATGGCCTTGGACAACGTAGTCTGTACAGGAATGAAAATGTCAGGGGCTAGAAGACACTCGAGGAGAGATGTTTACGAACGCAGTCCACCGACAATAAGAGGCAATATTATACAAAGAAAGTAGGTCACGTAGTTTTGGCGGCGCTTCTAGAGTGAGCGAAGTCAGAAGCACGGTGGATGTACGAGTACTTGGGAAACAAACCTCTTTTTTGGTGGTGAAAACGGCTTTTGTTCTTGCAACACTCCAGAGTTTGTACTGGATGCACACTGTGCTACCGGCCATACCCACCGGCAAGATGGTTATGACAAAGTTACAAATGTCCCCCCATATTGGATATGGGTTGCGTATATTTCCATGCCAGACAATCGTATTGATTGCGCACATCAAGAGGCCGGCGAACGTCCACGCGCGCGCCGAGGGAAATAATTGCAACATTTCCGACTTTCCAGTGTACTGGAAGGGGGAACAGTACGCCTAGCATCATGAGAATGCAGACGATTGGGTACGCGGGGTACATGTAGCGCATGTCCTCGAACATTTTGACTGGCTTCAGTATTTGGCCTGGCGAAAAAGAGAGGAGAGTGGTCATAGGAGTGCGAAGCCATGCACGTCGAAAGATAAAAGGCCCGCAACTCGCGGTCGGTTATGTGGCTGCCTTTCAGAGAGGAAGGATTTGGGATCGTGATATGCGGACACATACGGGCAGGGGTCAACGATCGAAACCACTTGCGTCCATCGGCGCACCTTACTCTTGACTTTTCAAAGACCGCGTCAGAATAGGGCTGTAATCGCTAAATCCAAGTGAATACTTTGCGTAGTGTCTCTGCCCCTGCCGGCTTGGTTTATATGAGGGGCGTTGTATTTGATGCCGATCCACCCCCCAGACCCTGTTACTTTCCCTACTCCAATTGATATCATTGCCCACTTCATCGATAGCTCTGATCAATGTTGATTTATTATAACCTCTAAATACGACCCAAGACGATGGCCGATTCCATC